CTAAAATATCAGCGTCATGGCTAACATTTTGAACATGCGATTGATTCATCGAGTAGACTTAACGCATCTGATTGGTTCATGTTCCCTTAATGGTGGCTGTATAGCTGTCAAATCTGAAACTCTTCACCACTATATGACTGATTATATACTGTCTTTAGTTGTACAGTATATGTAAAGGCCCAACTTTTTAGCTTGTTCGCTAAAATTAACAATAATCTGTCCCGTCTATATGTAAAAACTGTAATTATTTTATTGCATTCTGCAGGACACTGCATCTTCAGGTTTATACTAGAAAATACATGCATGCAGAAACCCTCGCCTTGCTGACAAAACCATTGTATTTTCCAAACATGAAGTATGTAAAATAGTTGCCATGGTAACACGATAATTTTTTAAGAATATTCCATTGGAATTTGGAATATTCTTACAAATGCAAAATCGCTTAAAAATATCACTTTTAATTACAAAATTATCAATTTCCCAACATATATATGTTAGGTATGATATTTTGCGTAATATAAGCTTCAATTTATGGTAAAATTCAACCACAAACGCTTCGCAAAACGTTTTAAAGTGTTCTTTATAAAACTAAACTGCCTTTATTCTTTAATTTATAAATGACTTTATCGATAAACTTTGAGTTTGCAATAAAATGATTTCAAATTCTAGCATGCAAATAACTTTGCTTTCTTTTTTATTTAAAAAAATTCAATAAAATAAAAAAGGGAATCAATATTAAAGATAAACTGAAACGGGCCCGATATGCAGTCTTGTTTAGTTGTTTCATATACGCAAAGGCCGTCGGGTTTTAAAGCAATTATAAAATCAATATTTAAAACAAACTTACCTTCGTTCACGTTGGCTCCCTTCTTTTAGCGGATTCTTTCGCCATTTCTTTCTTGAAATTTACAAAATCTTGAAAAAATGCGAGCAAAAATGAAATATATTTGCAAGAAATTTATCAATCATCAAATAAAGAAATGTTTGCTATTTCGCTGTCGTCATGCAATCGTTATAATGCAAACTTTAAATTGAACCAATCACAGTGTTTGCTATTCATGACAGTCCGCCATATTTTTGAGATCAGTGAGGATGACCACCCACGGTTGGTTACCCAAGCCCGCGATATTTGATGGACTTTAGACTTCGCTAATGTTTTCGTTTCCCCGAGTGTGAATAGCCGGGGGGAATTAGTACCCTCGCCCGGCGTTTCGCGCCGCCGGCTCGGGGAATATATATTCGAAGATTCTTCTAAACAGAGGTCAAGACTGATCAGTAAGAATGCTAGCGAGGAAAAGAAATTGGAGGATCTTGTTTTGCAACTTAATAGGATGAACAACATGCTGGGTGATACAAAAGGCGATATTACTTCTGTCAAGGTTATATGAATGGCCAATTTACGTTGATGAAGAAGATTATGATATATTCGCGTGTAATCAGATTCGATGTTTTCTTAAGCTTTCAATATTGATTTGATATTAAGATGCAAGGCTTTGAATAATGACAATTCGTCATTGTTTAATAGCCTAAGTGTTTGGATATTTTCATGTATAAACGACTGGAAGAGGAGATTTTACTTTTGGAACAGGAAATGGTTCGATTTCTTTGTTATTACAGCGACAAAATCATCCCAGATCTCGCCTCCTGTTTGGATTCATTAGGTAAAGGTATACTGTATATATAAAGGTATACTGTATATTAGCAGACTGCAGGCATAGGAACAGAACAGAGTTTCATAAAGAGTTCAGTTAGACTCGTAGTCTAAGAGTCCTGTTAGAGTCGTGAATCTTCTTCATTCTTGTTCAGAAGACGTACCAACAGTGGATATGGACGAGAACATGCTGTTTTTTACCGTTTTGGAATTACTGTGTCAATGATAACATTTCTGACATTACTTTCTATATATTCATGATACCATTGTTCGTTTTCCTTTGTAATATTTGTATTGTGATTGCTTTTGTTGGTTTAATTCTCCTCAAATGTTTTTGTGCTTAGTACTTACTTGATTATTCAACATAACTATTGTGTATACTATTATTAGGGAAAGTACAAATCAACGCAGTCCAACCGGCAGGCATTAGATGGGGGGAAATGCTCTCCTTAAATCTGGCATCTATTTTAACAAAACGCGATTGAAAAATGGCACAATTTTCTTCAAGTACATCGCAGAAGAAATTGTTGAAGAGTTAGATCTTAAGATTGTTGAAGATGATGAAATGAAGGAAGAAGTTGAGGACGAATTCGAAGAAGACGACGAAGGAGAAGGCGAAGAAGGAGTTGAGGACGAAGGCGCAGGGATGGAGGGATTTACTAAATCTACTGAACAAACTAAAACCAGCTACAATGAGTGGGTGGCACCCCATGGTACCCTGCCTTTTGAGCAACTAATACGGATATTAATTTTTCGCGGGGGACTGGAAGCCTTGGTCTAATTATAAATTTGGCAATATTTGATTTTTTCTGATTGAGAATAAGAGCGTAGATATTAGTTGATTGACCTAAATGGGAACAATGTTGTTAATTATAAAATATATATGAAGTAAATAAATAAATGAATTCATATAAATAAATAAATAAATAAATAAATAAATAAATAGAGATAATTATTATTATTATTCATTTATCTATTCCTGACGATTCTATTGTGGTTTCCCTGCTAGTTTTAATTATATCATTGTCGTTGTTGTCAGTAATATAGTTGTTTAAAATATGTATATATTTTTATATAAATAAATTAAGATCATTATTATTACTATTCATTTATCTATTCCTGACGATTCTATTGTGGTTTCCATGCTAATTATGTATATTTTTTTCTCCTGCCAAAGTATAAACATAAACGTCTTCTCGTTGATAGAGTGTGCTTGGGATTTTGAACAAACATGAATTAGGCTTTCTCACATCGCCATTCTTGGTGTACTTTTTTGTCAATCCTGCGAGCGTTAACCACGTAACGGCGACATTTTATAATTTTGTGGGTGTATGATGGTCAATTTACTCTGTAAATAGTTAGTTTGTTCTGAAATGTAGCTTTTCACATTATTATAATCGTTTACGAAGAATTTTAGTACCTCAATAATGGCGGCGTGAGAAAGGCTAATTATCTGTAACATATGCGGAAATCAAGATTTCTGATAAATCTTTGCAATTTTGTTAATTCTTCGAGTTACAATTCGCCTTAATGCTGAGTGAAATACACGTTGTTTTAGGACGATGAAAGATGTTTAATTTCAAAATTTCACTCACCTTCATTAAACCAAATATGTATCTGAATTTTGGGGTCCGATTTTGATGTATTGGGTGCTTATTTGTAAGGATTAGACAGGATGAACCATAAATTGACCTCAATTTTAGAAGCAATATTTCAAATCCGAGTTAGTGTTTTAGACGTGGTTTCTAAATACAAGTGCCATGAACAATGGCGAGGCGCAACTGAGCCATTGTTCATGGCACTGGGGATTTGGAAGCCAAGTTTAAAGCACTAACGAGGATTTGAATTTGCTTCTCACACATCATTAGATATTCATAGCAATGAGGCTAGCCCGCGTGCAGACCCAAGGGAAGAATAGTGGGCCTGCAACCAAGGCCCGGTATTTTGTACTTTCCGCGTTCGCCCACGAACGCGGCATTCTGATTGGCTGTTTGCAGTTGGATTATATAATTAGATCAGTGATTCCTCACAAAGGCCCTCGATAAGCTTAAAATTCGAAAATTGATCTCTTTTTTCGATTAAAAATGGAACAAGAACAAACTGTTTATTGTTTACTTGAAGGAAGAGATGTTTTTGCAGTTATGACAATGGGGATTGCTTGTGTAGTGTTGGAATAGCAACATTAGTGTCATTACGACTGGGGTAAACTATAGTAAACTTTACTCGAGTTTCATTAATATTTTCAAACAGATCGAGTCATGCCACTACATAACCCGCGAACAGGCATACTCTGGAAACGAGATTGGATAGCAATGTAGCTATGCTTCGCATAGATACAAAAACCGCAGAAGCTAATCATTTTTTGATAATTTTAGGTAAGCCTCATATCTCTATTTCAGACACAGTACAATTTTCAGGTTTTACTTTCTTTAAAACCGACAAGTCTTTTCGCCATAAATATTCCAGCGAAATTCTACAGCGTTTGCGTTATTTTATAATTGTTACATCCCTCAATACGACCACGAATTCTACGCCATGTTTCTCTCATGTGCGGCAGGCTTTACGGTCGATTGTATCAAAGTAGGAAATGACCTGTGTGTTATGGGCCCAAAACTTTTTTACTGCGTAACTATATATAATTGAAATCAAACAATTGTAAATAATCTACGAATCTAGAAATTTAGAATGCAATTTATGAAATATGATATTTTTGTTCTAATATCGAAATTTGCAATGAAAATATACAAAGAATGACGATTAGAAAAATTGTTAAAACTTGCTCCCGGAAGGGATGGAACACTCGGTCTTCGCATATATACTGCTGCAATGCTTATAAGTACGACGCACAAACCTACTTGGCTACGGGAGCAGGACGTGAACTCATTTTTATTTTCGAAACTTGATTGTTTTGAAGAGAGTCAGTTAGACAAAAAAAAACAGATGCAAATTTGGTATCGCACGTAAATGATGTATATGCCACACAAGTATAATAACAAGAAATGGTTTCCATCCATTAAATTAACCTCTGGGTTATGGGCCTAGCACGCTTCCACTGGGCTACCCTGCTGCTTGGAATAACGCAGAGAAGTGCTGTATATAGGGGAAAGTACGGCGAACTAACCAACTGGGCCGCAGAAGCAAATTGCTACAATCTACTCATTATTTTTGTAACTCATTGTTCATTAAGGCAAAAAAACAGGTGAGAAAATACTGCCGAACAAAAATCTATGTAGGGGATTGAATCTTCGACCAGAATTCTCATCTACTCCAGCACCGCTTATGTAATAATGTGATAATGTGTGATAATGTGTGATAATGTGTGATAATGTGATAATATATGTAATAATATATGTAATAATGTAATAATGTAATAATGTAATAATGTAATAATGTAATAATGTGATAATGTGATGATGTGCATGATGATGTGATGATGTGATGATGTGATGATGTGATGATGCGATGATATGATGATGTGATGATGTGATGATGTGATGATGTGATGATGTAATGATGTAATGATGTAATGATGTAATGATGTAATGATGTAATGATGTATTGATGTAATGATGTAATGATGTAATGATGTAATGATGTAATGATGTAATGATGTAATGATGTAATGATGTAATGGTGTAATCATGTAATAATGTAATAATGTAATAATGTGATAATGTGATAATGTGATAATGTAATAATGTAATAATGTAATAATGTAATAACGTAATAATGTAATAATGTGATGATGTAATGATGTAATGATGTAATGATGTAATGATGTAATGATGTAGTGAGGTAATAATGTATTAATGTATTAATGTAATAATGTAATAATGTAATAATGTAATAATGTAATAATGTAATAATGTAATGTAATAATGTAATAATGTAATGTAATAATGTAATAATATAATAATGTAATAATGTAATAATGTAATAATGTAATAATGTAATAATGTAATAATGTAATAATGTGATGTGATCTTGTGATAATGTAATAATGTAATAATGTAATAATGTAATAATGTAATAATGTAATAATGTAATAATGTAATAATGTAATAATGTAATAACGTAATAATGTGATCATATGATCATGTGATCATGTGATCATGTGATCATGTGATCATGTGATCATGCGATCATGTGGTCATGTGATCATGTTATCGTGTGATCATGTGATCATGTGATTATGTAATCATGTGATAAGATAAAAAAGGTGATAACGTAATACTAATACTGTAATACTGTAATACTGTAATACTGTAATACTGTAATACTGTAATACTGTAATACTGTAATAATGTAACAATGTAACAATGTAACAATCATAATAATGTAATAATGTTTACGTTAATGTTTACGTTTAACGTTATTTCAAAGTTCTAACACGGAACTAACTGATAGTTTAGTAATCCACTTAATCTGGAAGGTTACAGGCAAGATAGATAGTATGCCGCTGACACGTACGGCTTTAGTAGGCTAAGTAAGTGCAATAAAGAAACGTGTCTCTCCTCATGGAAATCGTTCAAGTCAACACCGACAACGAGTGCAAAAATGATTTATTGTTGATCACTATCCACACGATAATGAATGACCTCTCTTTTGACTTAACTCTATACAATGGAAAATATTGGTATGACATTAATTGTTGGTTATCCAACTACTTCTTACGCTTGAAGAATATTTAATAATTGAGGATATGTACTTCACAATATAATTTTATTTCAGGCAAATTCCAGTAGTCAGAAAAAGCAGCATGAAACTTATTATCAGCATATTTTTGTAGCCATAGTCTATCAAGATATGATTGTCTGAAAACTAAACAGAAGTGTTTGTCATATATGTTTTTGTCTGAGTATATGTTAATTCGATGCACGGTCACAGTGATTGACCTCATTGTATTTTCGTACAATTAAGTAATCGTACAATAGGGATAGCTGAGATGAAACGTGCAGCCATAAATGAAGTGGAGACAAAGGATTTGTGCATGGTGAGGTAATAGTTCTACATGAATCAAGGGTCTTCTATTTTGTGGCTTTGAAGTTTCTCGGTCTTCGAGACCATCATATCTTAATAGACTGTGTTGTAGCTAAAGTTTGAATTAAAGCAGTAACAATATTTAAAAATTTTCTCGTAATTAGGCTAATATTTTCCCAAAATATCATTTTCATGTTACCATGGCAACCACTGTTGTTTTAATCGTCAAATGCTTCGCGTGGAATTTCTATATTTTACCTGTTAAGAAAGGCGCGACGTTGCTGCATACATGTATTTCTAGAATGCAAATTATTTTCACTACGCATGTAACATTGCATCATAAATCTTGTATCGAAGTCATGAAACTGCTCATATCTGTGTTATGCCCACATAGTCAAAATGCTGTACAGTACGTCGAAAAACTTGAATCAATCATCCATAAGAGTTATAAAGTTTCTTCATGCAGAAAGGTATTATGTAATTTCATGCCATATTGCAGGTAATTTGCATATTATATGTTGTGAAATATATCAAGAAAGAAACAAGCTAAGCTAAGATGGTTGCCACAGAATATTATTGGTCAGTTCAAATCTCCTTTCAAATGCACCCGCACTAAAACTAGTGGGAAATTACTCTTCGAAAGTACCTAAATAAAACGTGAGAAAGGCAAGCAGAATTTATTAATTTTCTTATTACTTACGATGTCTGAAATATTGCGATGTAATATCTGGTAATGGGCTGGATCTTGGTATAACACTAAAAACAAAATAATAAAGGTGAATGTTAAGGAATAAACAAATTTTCGCTATACTGTTTAATCTACTGATGATTCTGCCTACATATTGGCAATTCCTTTGCGTCACACAAAATTAGAATTCATTCCGGTAGGCACGTACTCCGCTGCTCGCTTTCAGATACAACAGTCATCGTTGCTTCCACTCCCACTAACTTCCAACTCAGAATCTTCAGAACTGTCGATGATGTTGCAATTTTCAACATAAATTGGGAATTGGTAATTTTCAGGTGTTTAATTTTTCATTTTCAAGTGTTTAACCATGAGCTTTGGAAATGTGAGGTGGAAGTCTGTTTACAAGCTGCTCACTTAATTGGATTGGGTCTACATAATTTCCAATCTTTTCACAAAGACGTTCTAGTGCATTTTGATGTATAGCCTCTGTCTTCAAAAATCGGCGAGGGTAAAAAACAGGGAACATCGGAGATTTTAAAATCTATCAATTGACAATTGGAATTAATGTACATCACGTCAGTTGCGTGCTTCTACAAAGTTTACATTGTTACGGATATTATGTAAAGTTTCCCCAAATATTTGCCGGGTTTTCCGCGAAATCTAGCAGCACTTTTCATAACAAAGATAACTTAAATGAGCCCTCTACGAGTAAAATGAGTAGGGTCGAAACTCCTCAAACATACCATGATAAAAACTAAAATTTGAAAACGGGCGTTTTTCGAAATCATCGGGCGATAGTATTAACTCGTACGGGACGAATTTTCACATCAAATCATCAGTACGTCGTTAAACATTTTCAAATGAATACCAACAAGTCATAACCGCAGTAATTACCTAAATATCTTTGTCAATTTTACATGTAATAAGCCACGCTTATTTGTCAGTAGTGTAGCCAGCACGACGATTTAATCCCGCTATGCAAAAATTTTCGTGTTCATTGACTGTGAAAACAATCAATTTCTAAAGAAATGAATGATCAGTGATAAATTGATAATAATTTGAAATTTGCGTAGGGGGAGTAAAAATGTCGGGCCGGCTACGCCTCTGTTAGTTGGCCATTAACCGACAAAGTAAAAGAGTATATCAAACATAATTTATATTTGTAATTTAAAAAAAATCATGCCATTTTGTTTACGTTTACCCCACGCAAGAAACTATTGTACAAGTAACAGGAATCTTCTGGATACTATAGTGTGGTATAATGCAATAACCCTATATAAAGCCATATTAATTGCAAATTTGCACACTGATCCGAGGATATCTTCGAGTGAATCACCAGTCTCTGCCGTTGATTACGCCCGCTTATGATGGCCCCCAAAGCCATCCCTTAGTATATATTTTGTGTATATATAAAAGAAAAATACTTGGGAGAAAAGATCGTAAGGACCCTTAGTCGGGCGAGAAAAGCGGTTGAAGCGTGCTTCCCGCTTTCCGTCCTTATGATTTGGAGCTTCGAGCTATTTTATTTAAATAACATTTAGGTCAATTTGATGGAGCCCAAAACAACTTTCAAGCAAGGAGCGCACCGGGCCAGCGGGCCTTTGCCCGGTGAGCCCGACATGCCAGTCCGCCCCGGCTTTGCCTTGCGGTATATGTATAGGTTACGTTTCCAACAAAGTACTTTTATCCAGTGAACATGCATTCACTAGCTATAATACATGCAGCTATATTGGCTAGGCTTGAGTACTCCCTCTGCAGACATAACATTTGGTTGCGGACAAAAACTTTGAAGTGGCAATGCCTCAATACAAAATGTCAAAAGCTGTGTGGTTATCCTACACCCTATCGATACAATCTCATTATATCACCTAATGGACACTTATTGTTCATTAGATACTATCACAAACAGCAAACTATTCGAAAAATATATCGATCGGGAACATCCATTTTATTTTGTCAATTCTTACAAAAATGAATGAAACATCGATTATTTTACACTTGCAGGGGATGGCCGGAATTTAGCAAAAAAATCCAAAAGTGTGTATAAATCCAAAAGTGTAAATGAAATTTATAAGAATTTTTGCCACCATTCAATTTATATTTTGTCTCTATCGAATATTTTTTTTTTGTGAAACAAAATACTCTAAATACCAATATTTGAAGTGGATGATTTTGTCTCTTTGAATTGTCGATTACTGTTATATAATATACTGAACCTGATCAACTGCGCGGTTTGTATACAGAAAGAAACATTGATATATTCCAGCAAAGGAGAAAATTCAAATTTACAATGCCACGCATTTTTATACGTTAGCGAGATATGCATTCAGGAATTGTTGAGTATTTATACAGTACAAGTAAACTGCTCGTTGCTTCTACATAGAATGTTCACGGAAATATGCTGTAGGTTGAACAAATATAAGTGTATGAACACTTCCTATATTTGTTCAACCTACAGCATATTTCCTTAGCATATATTCATATTCATATATTCATATTCATATATATATATATATATATATATATATATATATATATATATATATATATATATATATATATATATATATATATATATATATATATATATTGTGT